GAGTAAAACTGCATTTTGCCTCCCCATTCAATTTACTCAGTCATTTTCTAAACCAAGATGTGATTGGGTGATGTAACTCAGGGAGGGGAGGTGGGGGGATATATTCCCACCCTGGGGCAAATAACGTTTGAAGATGAAATTAAGGAGAAATAAAGTGGGAGAAACCTGTTTATTGCTTACAAGCAGTTGCCTACTTCTGCTTGCCCTTTGTCTCTCATGACCCAGCTGCAAAAGGGCTCCACCAAACCTCCATAGTCCAGATATGCCTTCACTCCCCATTGTAATCACCTTTTGATATGGAGATGCACTAAGGCCAGGTGAGAGATTCTGGAAATACTGCAATTTTACCCACAGGTAGTATTGCATATTTTTTACATATTAGATTGTTAACTAAAATTCCTCAGAATCCTCTCCTTATGTAAGTATATAATTGGATTAAATCATAAAAGTTGGCTTATTTAAATGGCTGGTCCAATAACGTGCTTTTAAAAAGTTATTATATATGTTAACTATTTTCATGCATATATTCAGTACAAGTGAATTCACCAATTTCACATATACATATATATATGTATATATATATGTATATATATATATATAAATAGGTTTTTGTCCACCCTATTACCCTATTTTACCTTATTTGATGTAATCTCATACCTCTTTTATGGTTTTATGCACATTTCCCAAAAGTGTATGTTTAACTTTAGTTGTGTTCACCTTATTGAAATGCCCATGCTTCATATAGTCTTGAAGTTGTGATTTTCTTTTTCACTATACAGATGCTGAGATCCATCTTTACTGATGCATGCTGCCATAGTTTATTTGACCACTGAATGATAATCCATTGTGTGAATACACTACAGCCCATTTCTGTTCTCATTATGAACATTTGGATTGCTTCCACTTTTTGCCATTGTGAGCAATATTGTCATGAACATTCTTGCCCATGCCTTCTATTGTACATGGACAAGAGTTTCTTCCATACATACATTTAGGAGAAGAATCATTGCCTTGTAAGATATGTGATGTTCAGCCTTAGGAGAGAATGCTAAACTGTTCTGAATATATTTGCATCTATTTATGCTCTTAATATAAATGTATAAAAGATTCTGTGTGGTTGTGTACCCTCTGACATTTGATATTATCACATAGTTTTTATCAGTTGCATAATGTAAAAGGATGATTTAAATTTCCCTGATTTCTAATAATTTTGCTTCTTATGTTTCTTTTGAAGCAAAATGCCTATTCATCGATTTTGCCGTTTTTTTCCCCAATTAAGTAGGTTTTGCTTTTCTTACTGATTTGTAGTTGTTTTTATACTCTTGATACTATTGCTTTGTTGTTTCTTGGGATTGTAAACACATTTTCCATTTGTTTTTGTACTTTTATTCCATTTTTTATTCTCTTGATGTAAAAGAGTTCTTCATTTTAATACAGTAAAATATATTAATATTTTCTGAGCAGAGCAGAATGGATTTTTGAAAAATTTCCTAGCCATCACCAAAGTCCAAAATATAATAAGATTCTAAATTTCCCTGAAATTTTAAAAGCCTTATTTTTAACATTAACATTCTTAGTTGATCTGGAGTTGAAATTTGTATACAGAATATTTTTTAATCTTACTAATTAATTAATTTATTTATTCCTTGCCCTATGGATAACCATCTTTTAGACTCTGCTTTGTCAATAGTCCCTCCTTCTCTTAATGGTCTATTGTCCTGCCTTTGTCATTGTTCCATAAATACATGATTCTCTATTTGGAGTTTCTCTTTTACTACAGTTGTGAATTTGTATATCCTATGCTAATGCCACACTGTGTACATTTCAATTTCTTCATAAGTCTTGCTGTTCAATTATCCTGGTGGGTTTTGACTCTTTAATCTTCCATTAAAATGTAGAAATTATAACTTTCCATTTAAATCTCTGTTGAGATTTTAATTGGAATTGCATTGAGTATGTACATTAGTTTTGAGGTAATGGACATACTTGTAATACTGTGTTTTTATCTGTGAGTATAGAATATCACTTTATTTAGGCCTTACCTAAAATGTTGTAATCAGAATTTAGAATTGTACTTTGATTTATTCCTAAACATCTTATATTTTTCTGGGTAGTACTTTCTTTCAAATTACTTTAATCTTCTAGTTGTTTATTGTTGCACAAAATGCAATTATTTTTTCCCATTAATCTCACAATTAAACCACCTTCTTAAATGCTCTGAAAAATGAGTTAGTAGAAAATAGAGGATATTAGAAAAGAGAAGAAATTAGAAAATCATTCTCAATGCAATACTATTAATTGCAAGACTAATTCTATTTATATTTCTTCTGTAACACTCGAATTCTCTTCCCTGAGAAAGAGAAATATTCCAAGTCAACCAACTTTAAGGCAATAAATTCAAAAATGTAAGAGACAAAACCCAGACTCATTTTCAAAAGGAATACTCACACTAACCAAGATTATAACAGGTAAGACTCTCACAAATTCATGGCATATTGGTCACAAGGTCTACCTAATCTGGTAAAGCAAATATGGAAACCTGAATGTTCTCTATGTAGACCTTTCTGAATCAAGGTGTCCAGAACTCACAGCCATTAAAAAATCAAATGGATATTAAACTATTTCTCTAGTTCAATTTTTATACATGCCAAACATGAACATATTTCTCATGGAAATTTACTATCAAACAATCAGTTAGCTTTTATAGAAATAATGTTCCTTTAGGTTTTGTGTCTCCATTACAAACTACAAACTTTGATTTGTTATAAGCAAATAACAAACTCATTGTCTAAGCAAATAATAAGGATTCATAAAGGAAGACCACAATTATAAATACACTTGATTTTACAAAAAAATCTTGTATCCTACCACACATCATACACAACAAAATCAATTCTAGAAATATGTATAATTAGATAGGAAATATATAGCAACTAGGGATATAAAAACAATGAAACATCAGGGAAAACACTAGTAAACCATATTACATCTAAATTAGGAACCTGCTTACCAAAAGCCACCATTAAGGAAGTAAAAAAACTACACTGTAGAGAAGATATTTACATATGTAACTGAAAGTCAGCTTATGGCCAGTCACTTAAATGCTTTAGCACTTAACAAGAAGAAAAAACAGGCAATGACCTCAGAATGGGCACATCGAAGAATATCCAATTGCCAACACTGGTAAACAAGGAAATACAAATAAACATGAGTCACCATGCTAGTTTACTAGTGCAGTAGTAACAAAGGACCACAAACTGGGTGGTTAAACAACAGAAATTTGTCGTCTCACATTCCAGAAGCTAGACCTACAAAATCAAGGTGTCAGCGAGGTTGACTTCTTCTAAGGGCTCCGAGGGAGGATTCGTTCATGTTTCTCTTATAACTGCAGCTGGTTTATGGGTGATCTTTGGCTTTCCCTGGCTGCGGCTGCCTAACTCCAGTCTGCACATGGCATTCCCCCTTGTGTCTTCGGGTCCAGATTTCCCCTTTGTAAAAGAACACCAGATTCTTGCACTGGAGCTCACCCTACTCCCATAGGACCTCATTTTAATTTAACTGATTCCATATAAAATGACTGATTCCAGAAAAGGCCATATTCAGAGGTACTAGGGACTAGAACATCAGTATGTAAATTTTTGGGTGGTGACATAATTCAAACCATAAACTGAAAAAAATTCCATTAAAGAAATTCAAATTTAAACCACAGTGCATTACCAGTACATGCTGGGAAAGACAGGTAACATCAAGTGTTGTTGAGGATATAAAGAAAGTGGACTTTCATATCTGGTTTGTGGAAGTGTCAGTTGGTACAGTCTCTTTGTTTGTAATGAGTATTTGGCAATAAATATAAGTTCAATGTAGGTTTATAGGAATTTGATTTTAGGATATTGCTCAAATAAAATATGTATATGTGTTTACCAAATATATGTTCAGTAATGTACAGAACATTATTTATAATATCTTCAAAGTGGAAGCAACACAGATGTCTGTCAACAAGAACATAGGTAAGTAACCTGTGGGCTAATCATAGTGCCTTATCCTGAAAAGCAGTGAAAATGAACCAACTATGGTTATAAGCAATAACATAGACAGATCACTCAGATTTAATGTTTAGCAAAATAAATGAGATGCAAGGAAATGTATGCGCATGATTCTACTTATATAGAATTCAGAAACACGGAAAGAATCTGGAATCTTAGAGCTTAAGGTAATGGTAACTGGTCAGGAGAAATGGAATAAGTGATCAGAAGAAGACAAATTTTTCAAGTTAACAGTTTTTCTCAAGTTTTCAAGACTTCTTCATTTGCTTTCTTATCAATATTGAATAATTATTTGATCATATAACAACAGTAAATAACAAACTCTAGTACACATTATAATAAGCAATATTAAAACCAAAACAAAGGAAATGAAAAGATTGGATTTAAAAAATTTTATTTTGCTGTACTACCTGCTGTTGTCCTTGTTAATGTATTGTTTCATTTTTCAAGATGCTGTGGCTCTTTAAATGATAGGGTTTATTTTTGGATCAGAACATATTTCCAAGGGAAGTATGAGTCTTGGCAGGCTTTCAGTATTCCTGATTTTAAAATAAATACCAGGAATCAAGTGGAATGAGCCATTTCCTCTAACTAATGAATCGAGGTAAGGTACTCTATTTTATAAATGCTCTTTTAAGATTTTGAGCTAGAATAAAATGAATTGAGCTCTTTGACTATAAATATTAGGAATATTCATATTAGTGTCACATCTAACATAGTGTTGAAATGTTGACCTGCTATATCCATCGTCAAATGTGGAGTACTCTAGTGAGTCATTTCCCTAGTCCTTTCTGTTTGGTTATTTTTTAAAAATACCTTCTATGTAAGAAAAAGTCACATACTTCTGTTCACTCCTTTAATTTAGATCTAGGCTTACATCTCAGTTGCTTTTGAAAATGAGTTTTGTCTAGTGTTTTTCCCGTGTACAGCTTTAACACAAAGCAGAAAAATACTCACACACTGTTTTCAGACAGACTCCATTTTTCCAGAATTTCCAATGATTCTGAAAAGAAAGCAGGCTTATGAAAATACTATCTACATTCACCACGAGAGTTCATAGCTTTTTTCCTTATCTTTTGAAGAAGAAAATAAGTCTGGCATGCCTGCCACATTACTCCAGTTCATATTTATTCAATCTCTTAGTATATTTCTGGCCTTGGTATGGGATATATGAAAAGAAATATTTACCACATTTTCCCTCCAGGCAGTTTAGCTATTACTGAGACTTGGGTCTCAAAACATAGCTAGTGGGAGAAGGACTTATAAAGTTACTCTCCAAAATCACTTGGTAGAAATTCAGAATTCATATAAATGACAGAATGCCCATCTTGTGAATGAGTGTAAAGCAGGCAGGGAATAAAGCATACCACCTACCCCAGGCCCACACCAACACATGCCACCTACCAGACCCCTGTAACTCCGGGGGTTGGAGGACATCCGGGGCAAATACCTCTGAAACCAAAATCAAAGTGAGAAAGAAAGTGGGACAAACCTGTTTGCTGCGTACAAGAAGTCTCCACTTCCACTCGCCTGTGTTGCTCTCAAACCGACTGAAGAAAAAGGGACCCCACCCAACCTCTGGCCCAGTGGAGGCCGCCTACTGCTCTCCACCCCTTGGAAACACCTGTTGATACGGAGATGCACTAAGACTAGGTGAGAGGTTCTGGAAATGTTGTGATTTTACCCACAACCCCAATTCCTTCTTCTTAAAATCCAGATTTTTGTCTTCTCTTCTCTCTCCAGCTGCATCCTTCTCCCAGCTGTTGGACTTCCTTTCACCATATAATAATCTGTTGAGTAACAGATTTTTGCCTTCATTTGTAACTCTAGGGGGGAAATCCCGGGGCAAAATACCTCTAAAACCAAAATCAGTCAAAGGGAGAAATAAAGTTAAGAAACCCATTTGTTTCTCACAAGCAGTTGTCCCGTCTCTCTCTTGATCAGGCTGGAGCAGAAGCTCTACCCAACATCTCTGGTCCAGATAAACCCTCACATGCCCTTGTAGTTATGTATTGATATGTAGGTGGTCCAACTCTCTCCACCCCTTGAGACACCTATTGATACGAAGATGCACTAATGCCAGGCAACAGATTCTGGAAATACTGCAGTTTTTACCCACATCATTCTTGATCTCTCAGGGAACAAAATAGTATTAATAATAGTAAAGACAGAAAAGAAGGAAAGCAGGAAAGAAGAGAGAAAGAGGAAACCTCTTTCATTTTGATAATTTTATTACTATTATGGAGAAGTAGTGGTAACAAAATGTGATACGTAAATGTTATAAAATCTCCAGATATCTTAGCCCTCACTGTAACTATTTCTTGGTGTATTTATTTATCTTTTAATTTCTTAGTATTACTCTCCCTCTATGTAGGTCCCAACCCTTAGTTATCCTTGATATCCTGGAATGACCTTCAAGGCATTTAACAATCTAATAACTGCTACTTTATGGGTGTGGGTAAAATTGCAACATTTCCAGAATCTCTCCCCTGGCCTTAGTGCATCTCCCTGTCACTAGGTGTTTCCAAGGGGTGGGGAGAAGCAGTCCACCTCCATATCAATAGGTGATTGCAAAGGGGAGCAGGGCATGTCTGAGCGGGACGGGTGGGGTGGGGGGCCCTTTTCTGCAGGGTCCTGAGGGACACAGGTGAGCAGAAGTGAATGACTGCTTCTAAGCAATAAATGGGTTTGTCCCACTTTATTTCTCACTCTGATTTCAGTTTCAAAGATATTTTGTCCCAGGGTGGGAAAATATTTTCCCCTCCGGAGTTACATCAGGCATCAACCAATCCAAACAGATGCCAGCTGTAAACAATTGAATGTTTCTCCTGGTTTATGCATCCCAGGTGGAACTAAACAGATATTACAGGCTCCTCCCCACAGCGGGGCAATATCCACCTCAAGATACACTTCCTTTCGTGAGGAAAAGTTCACTCCCAATCGTCTCATGTAAGGTGGGTTCAACTGTCCCTATGTTAGTTGTTAATACATTTGTTTTAATGTTGCACCTACCTGCATTTTGTTCTCTACCTGTATAATCTATTTTTCATATTCTCTTAACATTTGAGATTTTTTCTTACCCATGTGTCAAGAATATTAAGACAGAAGAAGTGGTAAGAGACTGGAGGTAAAACTTCACTGTCTGAAGTTTCATCTCTAAGGCCAATAAGGATTAAAATAGGACAAATACTTTTTATAACCTAGTACTACACATAAGATGCAAGTTGCATTGTTAACCAGTGCTTTTGAGCACAAATGTTACAAAGCTGGAAAAGACAGTGTCTGGCTTTAAGGAGTTTTTGAAAATAGTTCACAATTGCATAAAAATAGCTATGGTATTTTAGAAAGACTCCATCATTTTGTGAGATGATCTAAACCTTCTAGTTTTAGAAGTTTCATTTTATGAACTTCTCAAGACTAAAGCAGACTGCAAACTGAATTCTCAGATCTCCAGCCAACTATCACAGTGTAGTAGTGGTAGTGTGTCTTTAGATGCAAGCGGCAAGAATTACAACTCAAATCACTTGGAGGAAAAACGAAAGACACGCTTCTTCCAGTAGATGGGACGAATCCTGGAACAGGTAACAAATCAAAGAAGAAAAGCTTAGAATCAAGGCTTCAGACATGAACACTGGGATTCAGTGCTATAAGGCTATAATATCTGTGCTGGTTTGTCCTGGATTTCATATTTTATATAAAGTTTCTCCACTGAAAAATGACTCATGAGAGCCCTACAATCTCAGGCTTAAGATCCAAGAAGATGGGTTACCTTCCTTCCATTTTTGACTCAAAAATTAAGGGGAAGGTCTTCCATAACCCAGCCTGGACCCACATGTCCCCTGGTGTGAATGCAGTGCCAAGGCTGGTGGTGCCCCAGAACTGTAGAGGCTAGGGATGGGTTTACCAAGGATGAGCAGTGCTCTTACAAGAAGGGATGTTAATAATCTACCCTGAGCACCTGCAAGCACCAGCACCAGGGCGCCTGTTTGCAGAAGCGAGCATGCACGCAGCACTTACCATAACTCAATCCACTCCTGAAACCCTGTACATGAAGTTGAGTGTTTCCAGTGGGGACTGACTGTGAGAGATGGAGCGCATGTGGCATCATCCAATGCCAGGCTGAAGAGTGGTGAATTGGAAAGGCAGCCATGTGGAAACAGCTTCTGGAATATGCTCTTTTGTATTTTGCAGAATGGTAGCTGCAGTGAAAATTCCCAACTCCTGGTGAGGCAGAGATGGTTCCGTGGGTAGAATCAGAAATACACCCGAGAACATTTTGCGCCAGTGGTGGGGTGCGAGGTTGCATATCAGAATGTGTCTCTTGAGTCCTTGAGGATGTGTATTTTGGAATCTTCCATTGATTCAGCTGTGTTTCTCCTGGCCTTGGGTGCTCTACCTGGGTGTGGAAGCCTCGTCTATGAAAACACAGGTTCTGCCCTCTCCCTAGAAGGGCAGAACTGTTCAACTTAATTCCACACATTTATATTAACACTTAGGCACACAGTGTTGTAGGGGGAGCAAAAATGAAGATGTGTCTGCCCTCCAGGAGCCACCATGTCATGTGGCAGCCCCGTGTGCAAACATACACTACGTTGCAGAGGAGTGTGTGTAGGGGCTATCTGGTGGAGCTTCTAACAGAAAAAAAGGAGGGGATATTTGAGATCTATTCTGAATAATTTTGCTGTATTTCTGAATACTTTCCCCTCTGTCCTGTCTGGTGAGCTCCTACTTAACAGAATGGAGGATGGGATTGAAGATAAAAACTGTAATGAGGAAAGAATCCAAAATCCCGGAAAGCTGAGCCAAGAGCTGAGTGAGAAATATCACAGGCTGAAAAGAATTTGGAAATGTTTGCCGAAACTGAAGGCAACAGGAGCAGCTATCAAAAGCTGCAGGAGGACGTCAGCAAGGTGCAGGTGAGGAAAAGGAGCCGAGTGTGGGTGTGCGTGGCCCCATTGGGCCGCAGGAGCCGCCCAGGCCGCCCCGGACTCCGAGGCGGTGGTCAGCCGGCCACGCCCAAGGGCCGCCGGTGGGGCGGCTGTCAAATGCCTGACCCCGGAACGTAATACCCGCTGCTCCTCTGCAGAGGCAAGAGAGCCTATATGTATCACCTTGATTTCTCAAGAGGTATCTTTCAATTTTAAATAAAGTGAAAAGTAGGATGAAATTTTAAAGTAGAACTTAAGTGATTTGGTAATGTATCACAGCCGATGCACTTAATTTGGATAAATATATCACATAATAATTCTTTCGGCAGTAGATTCAGTGTTTTATGAGAAGGGTAGACAAAGGGCATGTTAACAATGAAGAGTGCGGTGAGAGAGTACCTGTGGTGCAGGAAAGGGGGGGGGCTCAAAAAAAACCAATTTAGGTAATGGTATTACACAGTTCAGCTGGTGTTTGTGATGAGGTATTAGGGCCACCTGTGCAACAAACACCACCTGTAGAACCTCAGATGATAATGTTTCAATAAAATAGAATTTGATGAGGATTATAACAAAAGATCTACACTTTTAGTAAGTAGAACGACTATATCAATTTAATGCTTTTAAACATTGATAGTTTACCCACAGCCATTTGAAGAAAACATAATGCAACATCATCCTTCTGTCCCCGTCTTTTCTGTAAGTCTTGGTTTCTTATAATTACTCTGCATTAATTATGTGACTAATGGAGACTGCTTATTCCAGTTTTGTTATTTTGCTTCTTTTTTTTGTCCTTGATTAAAGGCAGTTTTCATTTACATTTTATATTTATATACTGGCGTCAAGTTATGAAAGGTTTTATCCAGTTTAAGGATCCTGTGATTTTCACTTTATCCTAGTACTAAGACTTATTGTAACAATGTAATGTAATTTAAATGTCTTAATGGAATAGAAAATAGTCTAAAATGATTAAATATAATAATGTGTTTTTGAAAAGAAACTCCTCAGTGATTCCTAAGGCCTGTACATTATGCATATTTTTGCAGAGCTGTGTGGAACACCTCTGGGGCCACAAATCATGAAAAAAACGATGGGTGGGTATTACTGCATTGGCATGAGGTGAACTGAGTTACAGTACACATAGGCTGGGAACTCTAGGAGCAAATGTGGCATTTTCTTACATGTTGCCTACCACAGGAGGGGTTCCTGAATGGGTAGAGATGGCAGATGAAAGAGGTGACAGTTCTGGAACTGAGGGACAAGCTGTAAGTGGTGCTTAGCATATCAGCCAGGTAAAGGAGCCGCAAGGTGTGAGGCCTCCATGATGACATTCCATCACAGCCCTGGTCACATAAGACGCCGTGGCCCTTTTCTTTCTCATTCTCACTTCTTATCCCACCATATAAGTCACAAGTACAAAACAAATGCACGTGTGTGTAAAACAAATTTGTGAGGTGGGAGGGCTGCTTTAACCTCTTTCTAAAAGCCAGTGAGAAGAAGTGGCATTCTCCATTCCTCTTCAAAATGCACTGAGTGTTGCCCACAACATGCTGATAATTCCTGGCATGAGGCCTGCTTTCCACCGTATCTGGGCAGTTCCACTAGAGTAGTTGAGC